TGCGTATACATTGTGCAATTGAGTCTGACCCCAGAGGGCTGAATTGTAATGCCAATGAATAACACAGGGTAGAACATTTCCTATATTAACAAAGATTCTCTCTCAGTGTGCAATGAGCCACGAAGGTATAATATTGTCTCTGTCCATAGTAATGTTTGGCCAATATATACACTGAGGTTACTATGATTCAATTAAGACTTTGATTGAGGCTGAAAAAATACAAATTGGCTACCAACGACATAAAGAAAACCTAAAAGAAACCGGAGACAAAGGCAGATAATCTACCAAGAATTTGATTGGCAGCTGGCTTTTTAGGGGAATAATATCTTGTAAGTACTGAGAGAAAATAACTGTCAGCCTAGGATTGCATACCCACTATATTATCTTTTAAGATTGATTATAAAATAAACATATTTTCATACAAAACTAAAAGCATTTACCACTAACACTAAAAGATACTATTAAAGGATTGTCTGGAAAAAAATAAAACTATATCACAGAAAGAAGGAAGGAGATGTTGGAAGGAATGAGGAGGAAGAACTGGTACACATGCGGGTAAATCTCAACAAGCAATAATAATAATAACAATAATAACAGTGTTCAATAGGGCCAACATTTGGGATGATTTAACAGAGAGTTGAAATTTGAACTTTAGCCTGTATTTTTTGTGAAAATATTGAAGGAGTTTGAGCTGGATAGTAATCATCTCAGGGATATAATTGAAGCTAGCGGTAAACTTGAAATAGTGATGGTGTCATGTAATTTAGCGGTGCTGCGTATTAACCCAGGGCCTGACGGGAGAAGGCAGTCAGGCGGCTCTTGTTAAATTGAGCTGATCTGTGCATTCCCACTACAGTGAGTAAGGTGCTCATTTTGCCATTTGCTTTTGTTTGGAAGCTGTTCTAGAAGCATTAACTTGATAAATTGGAGTACACAAAACAAGACAGCAGGAGTCTCTTTTGCCATTCAAAATGCCACGTTAAATGCCTTGTAATTGGTTTAAAATAGCAGAGCTTTTGTTGGTTTTCATCTCCACTAAAGGGTAAGAATTGGAGGTATATTGTGATATGAGGGGTTTGTTACATTCGTATGAAAACAATTCATGAAAGTGACATTTGCTAGACATGTAAACTGGAGGAAGATTGTGGAGCTGCTTTTCCTGAGGTTGTGACAAGTAAATACCATTCATCTGTCAGGACTAAATTGAGGGGTGCTTTGTCAGACACAGTGGGGTAGATGAAAAGAACTAACAGCAATCTGATTTGCATGCTTTCTGGATAGTACACTATACTATTCATGAAGAATAGTTTATATTATTTGGAGAAAGTATTTGCAAATTCTAAATTTTTAGACTTAAAAACTAGGTTTGATGGAAACAAGACTGGATGAGGATGAAGAGATTTGCGATTGACTGACAGTTTGATGTCAGGCTGTTCCTAGGCTCCCAGGGACACTGCGGTATTCCCACGGAGCTAAGACTGGAACCTCTCTGGCCGTGTGTGGAACACAGCCTGGTTCCCAGACCCTGATTCATTCTCCACTCTGTGGCTGGAGCTGCACCACAGGACCCACACCTGTGGGCCCAGCTTTGCCACAGCCCCTCCCTGTGAGCAGTTCTGTGCCTCTTTAAAACATTGTGTCCCACATTTCATACCGATGGGCCCCTTCTTTTCTTCTGCCATTTCCCTCCCTTTCACTATCAAGAGTATAAACTGATCCTTAAACCTCTACCTGGAGACGAGGGCCCTGCTACCTGCTAACAGGCTCTCCTAAAGCCAGCCTCTTTTCTGCTGGAACTTTCCACTCTGGCCTTCATAACCACACTCTGACGCCTGTCAGTGTGGTCCGCTCTCTACCTAGGATTTCCCTTACACCAACTGCTAGACAAATTGCCTCCTGAGCACGGTTGCCTTATCTCTTGAAACCGAGTTTTGTCTCCTCTACCAGAACTGCTTTCTGCTTCTGCAGTCTCCTGTGACTGCACATACACTGGAATAATGGACTGCTAGTCTTAGTAATCTATCTTGCGTTGCAGTTAACCAGACTATCATATTAATGGTATGAAAGATATGTATGACCTTGGGAAGCAGGAGAGTGTAGAAGCTAAGAAGGTAGATCCTAGGGTTAGGCCACTTGGATTCTAAATTCAGCTTCACCATTAACTATCTAGGTGACGTTGTTAAAATTCATAAAGGGTCTGACTTTACTATACTGTACATGCAGGCTAGCAGGTTAGTCTGCCACAGTCTCACAGATGCTGACAGAAGACATGAGACTCCTGGACCAGTGACAAAAAATAGTTCGTATGACACTAGCAATAATTTGAGCATCAGTATCTGCTGGTTCCCTGACCCTGATAACAGCATATATATTAGATTGCATGATAGAAGAGGAAACTCAAATGTAAGCAACCCAAATCTTTCATAATGAAGAGTGAGCCTGCCTGACCTCTGTCTAGAGGGAGATATTGTCTTTATTATACTGGAGAGTAAACACTTCTGCTCTTTGCTCTGGAAGGAGACAGTATCTCTGTCTTTCAAGGATGTTCATTATATAAGCATTCCCAAAAGATACAGCCAGTGCCTCTGTTTGCTAACTGTGTGGAAACATAAAATATCCCTAGAGAATTATTTCTCAAGAACTTTGGGTAAGTTCTTAAAGCCTCAGTTTTCTCATCTGCAAACCTGGATTAATGGTAAAACATAAATGAATATAAAATAGATATAATGCATATACAACACTTAACATCACCCCTACACATAGCGTCATGCCTGACACATTGACAGAAGGGCTTTGCAAATGTCAATTGCAATTATAAATTATTGCTTCATGAATAAGATGCAAGTATGTTTACTGAATTCTTTGCTTTCTCTAGTAAATAGAATATTACAGCTCAGCGATGTTTCACATTGTTTGAATCACCCCAAAGATTAGAACTAAAAAAGACCATAAACCTGGCATTTACAGTTAAGAAAATACGTGCAAGAGGTTATGTGGTTTGTTGCATTTCACATAGAAAAACTGTAAAAACTACAATGATCATTTGATTTAAAATTAAGATTCTTTTTAATTAAACATAATACCTGGAACTCAATAAATATTGGAATTACAAATGAAGTGAAGCAAGCCTATGATATATTAGAAAACATTTCACATGTGCATTTGGACATTCTCTTCTTCTTACTTGCTTGACTTACCAACCGCCTTAAATTTGTCCCCTGAAGGCATAAATAAATAAATAAGTAGTGAAAAGTTAAAATAAGTAACCCATATCTCCTCCTCACTTTTATCCCCATTATAGTCACTGTCTCCATGGCAGAAAAAACAAAGAGCCAAAAACAAAACCTCCAGACAACTCCAAGGAAAGTGCTTGCTGTTATGTGCAGGTGATATAGAAAGTGGTCCCATTCTGCCTAAAGGCAGGGAAATTCTAGTGAAATATCTGGCAGCTTTATGCCAACATCTTTATGCTGACTTATGGACAAGCTTTCTACATCATGAGGGGGAGTAGAAAGAAAAGGGAGAGTAGGGAGTAACAGAAATAATATCTAGTTCCAGAAGGCAACATGTGAAAATCCAGGGAAGGAATTTATCCCAAAAAGATCGGCAAAAATCATTGATTTTTGTACCTCTTCTTAATTCTGATCCATTGTTTTTCTATGTTCTTTAAAAATGAGGTCATAGCTTTAGTTTCTATATGGCTCTGAAATTCTTTTCAGGATCCTAGGTCAGAGTTTATCATGCCCAGGTAAGCAAAGAAAGATTTTAATAGGACATTCAATGATAGGGAATGTGCATTGCCCTTCATCTTTTGTCTACCTCAAATCCTCTTCATAATTACCTTGCATTCCAGGTGATTCTGTTCTGGGTGTTCTGGGTGCCTCACAAGTGCTTCCTGAGTTGGTGGAGGCTGCAGTCATCCCTTACCCATGGTGGGCACTGCACTGCCCTCTGCTGGAGACAGCAGGAGTTGCTCTATTTTGCCAGGGCTTTGTACCTCTTCCTAGGTACCATTGTGTGTGCATGAACTCGTGTGTGTGTTGGGGGGGGGGGGGAGAGACATAGAACATTATAATATACACATGCTTTTTTCCCTCTTGCTTTAGAGAAGTCCCAAGTATGTCACTTGTTTCATCTACATTGTGAAGAATTGAGGGAAATAGTTCTTTCAGTTTTCACTTGGAGCGTTATATCTCTCTGGAATCAGAGATTCTGGAGATGAATTGTTCTAAGAGTGCCAGGCGGTAGTGAAAATCCCTGTACCTAAACCCCCATGATGAGAATGTCTTTGTCAGGGTCGGGCCCATCACAGCTGTGTGTTTCTGCACATGGGAGGACCTCTCCATCTTCTGCAGAACCATCCCACCAGTCTGACTTGTGTTCAGTTATGTCTACACAGTGGCGGATACAATTAGAGCTGTTTTGTAGAAGGCTTCCAGGCCTGCTGACCCCTGAGTTTCCATTGGGCTCATCCAGAGGGGCATGCTTAAATCTGATAGCCGATAGGTCTAGAATGAAGCTGAAATCCCTGCTACAGATGTGAATTGTATGCCATTTACATATGGTATATGTCATATGCCAACAAAAGAATTGACTTATATCCTGCCTACCTCCAAATGTGAGTATGGGCACATGCTTTAAATTCCAGGTATATCACGGTTCATTTATTTATTTATCCTTTTTTTGTTATAATCAACGTAATACAAGCTGCTTTAGGCACAGTTCCTATGTCACAGGCCTCATAATCTGTTGCTTCACTTTATGTCTTCGTAGATGTGAATTCTCTAGTTAAAGCTTGATTTACAACATCTTTTAGTTAACTTTGAAAAATATTCATTCTGAAGTTAAAATATTAGTATCAACAACTCTCTGTACTCGATCTTTATAGATGCACATAAAGTATTCCAATCAGGCATATACAGGAAGTGTGGAATTTAGTCTAGCAAGGGATGTATCAATGTTCCTAGATTTTAATGTTCTTACTGCTGTCTTTGTCTCAGGTTATGCAGATGTATCTTCCATTTTGTGGAATCGCCATATCTAACGCTCAGCTCTTTGCTGCCTCAAGGAAAGAATATGAAAGAAGCAGAGTGAGTAGAAAAAAAACATTGCTGACACTCCTCAACACTCTCTTTCTGGTTTCTGTAAGTCATTATGTCTTTTAAAAACAGTCAATGAATGATCTTTGAATAGTCCAAGAATCTTTTTTATTTGTATAATTCTGCAAGGCTATGGTTGAAGATACAGTTTAAGCAATAAGCCCAAATGGAAGTGGACGCAAATTATCTGTTGTTATTTGGGGGCAGGGGTACAAACTTCTTTCAAAAAGGAAATTAATATCACATCTATACTGTAAGGCAGCAGATATATCCTTGCTAACTTGTGGCTTTGAAACAATAACACAATTTGGTGATGCTTTTACAACTAAATTCCTTTAAGAAGCAAGATCTTACCCCCGCTTCCCAGATTTTATTTTTGAATTGAAACAATTTTTGAATTGAAAGGATTTCTGAAAGTACATGTCACTAGATACTTGGAACAATAATGCAAACACTACTTTATAGTATTATAAAGAAACACATAGATCTTTTATACCTTCATGAACTATGGAACTAAGTTGTGAAAAAGGCAAAGTCTAGTAATCAAAAAATGCTAAATTATCAAATAGCGATTAAATTATATTAGGCTCATTCCACTTTTAAATATAGAAAGATTACTGTAACAACTTAGAAATATATTTAACAAAAAGATGTTCAAAAAGGTTTGAAACCCTCAGTTAATCTGGGCATCAAGTCGATTAAAATTTCATTTGCTAATTATGATGATTTATGGATTTTTTATCAGTAAACAGATGAACACAGTTGACTACTACAGCCATGGTTCTTAGCATGGCATACACATCTTTTCTCTGCTTTGGATCCTCTTTTCATCCTTTGCCCCATGTCTTACCATGCTCCTTCTTTCATCTGGCACTCCAGCAATATGGTCCCCAATTTCCGGCAAACAATCTGTTTCATTTGATCATAACTTTATCCATATTCCTCCCTCTGCCTTCAATGCCTCAAGTCAATTCCACCATCTGCCCTCCACATTCTTCAGGACCCAGCTCAGCCTTCTGATTAATCTTCCCTTCTTCACTTGTGGTTTTGGCTTGTATCTACTGCCATTATTCTATTGTGAATACTTATCACACTGTATTATGATATTTAAGGAGGGCCCTCCTCTCCCACTACATTATGAACTCCTTAAGGGAAGCTTCATGTATGATTAATCTTTGTATTCTTGTGTATGGCACAATTAATTTATTCATTCAACAAGTATTGATTGTGTGGTTCCCTTCACATGCTGTCTATCCAAATCCCTATCCTTATGGAACTTACTATTCCATGAGAACAATAGATAATAGATAAGAAAACAAATGTTTTAAATTGCATAGTATGGGTAGCGATTAAGTACTGCAAGGAAAATAAAGTGAGATAAAGGAATGAAGGGTTGAGGAAGGGTAGGTTGGGAGGATGTTTATTTTAGAGGGTGATCAAAAAGATCTCTATAAGGAGATGATCTATGAGCAGAGACTTGAATGGAAAGGAGAAAAGCCACACAAAGATCTGGGGAGAGCATCTCTGGCAGGGGAAATACCAAGTACAAAGGACTTGAGACAGGAGAAAACTTGGTCAGTGTGTTTCGAGAGCAGAGAGAAAGGGGGATAGAGAAAGGAAAATAAAATAAAATGAGGGTACGGAGGCAGGCCAGATGGTAGAAAAGCCTGTGGGCATGGCAAGGGCTGTGGCTTTCATCCTGAGTGCAGTGGAAAGCCATTAGGAGATTTTGAGGTGTGTCTGACTTTTAATACAGTTCACTCTGGCCTTCCTGGAGGCAATAAACTGGCTGGGAAGGGAGGGAGAAGGCTGAAGCAGTAAGAGGACTTAGAAAAGAACTGTATTGAAGCGAGAAAATAGGACTAGGGCAGTGAGAAGTGACAGATTTCCTCCAAAATCAGTGTTGAAATCTATGGGGTTTGCTGATATGGGAAATGAGTGAAAGAGAATTTTGGCTTGAACAGCTGGCAAGTAAACACTTGGATACAGGATTCTAAAGTTTTGGGGAGATATCAGGGCTGGAGATTTGGGAACCAGCAGCATATAGAGGGTATTTAAAGCCAGGGATCTAGCTGGTTAATTTAAGGAAGAATATGCAGATAAGAGAAGGGAAAGGTCCAAGGACACGCCCAAGAACAAAAGAAGGTCACTAGTATAGATGTCAGGGTGATGGATGCAGCAAACCACCATGACACATGTATACCTACGTAACAAACCTGCACGTTCTGCATATGTACCCTAGAACTTAAAGTATAACAATAATAATAAATAAAATAAAACAGACGATCATTTAAAAAGGCCAGTAGAAGAAAGAGAAACAAAATGCAGATACTCGTTTCCTGGAAGGCAAGTGACATCAAGAAGCAGAGCCTATTCAACTGTGTGAAATGCTTCCATTATCTGTGAGCTGGATATTACTCTAGATTTTCTTCTCTTTTTCTCCCATTCTGGAGCTAGTCCACATTATTATTTGTAAAACTCCGATCACTCGTTAATAAAGCAGCAATTTTAAATTAGAACCAGTAAGATTACTATAATGCGATTTGTCAGTGCAAGACTCAAGGCACAACTAGTTTTTCCTCTGAGATAAATGTTCTTGTATATGGGCCACAGAGGCTCTCTCCATGCAATTACAACGAATTGAAAAGTTAAATAATTGTTCGGTTAATACGATCCATCTGAAGAAATAGTCTAGATGATTAAGGAAATAATGTGATCCCCATTAATAACAGGGCATTTTGCTTGTAATTACTCAAACAGTTGTCTCATTTTTAATGTTTGAACATGAAATTATTATTATTTTTTATTATGCATTGACCCCTAACAGAGATTTGCTGTCCAAATGCCAAATATCAAGATTCGCTTAGGAGTTTTTCCACCTTTCGATGTTCCTCTTTGCTTTGGGATCATGGAGCAATATGGTCCTTACTCTGTTCCATCTTTCTTTAGAGATAATGTAAGCACCCAATGGGCTCACCTTGCAGTAGAGGAAGAGTAATTCACACAGAGTCAGCTGTGCTGAAGACCAGAGTTTTATTGTTACTCAAATCAGTCTCCCCAGATCAGAGTTTTTAAGGATAAGTTGGTGAGTGGGGAATGGCCAGTGTGTAGGAATCCTGATTGGTTGGGTCAGAGATGAAATCATAGGGAATTGAAACTGTCCTCTTGTGCTCAGTTAGTTCCTGGGTGGGGGGGTCACAAGATCAGATGAGCCAGTTTATTGATCTGGGTGGTGCCAGATGATCCATCAAGTGCAGGGTCTACAAAATATCTCAAGCACTGATCTTAGTAGCAGTTTAGGGAGAGTCAGCTGCATGACTTGTAGCTTGCAGCTGTATAACTCCTAAACCATAATTTCTAATCTTATGGCTAATTTGTTATTTCTGCAAGGGAATTCTAGTCCCCAGGCAAGAAGGAGGTTTGTGGACGGGTACTGTGGCTCACACCTGTAATCCCAGCACTTTGGGAGGCCATGGCGGGTGGATCACAATCACAAGATCAGGAGACTGAGACCATCCTGGCTAACACGGTGAAACCCCGTCTCTGCTAAAATACAAAAAATGAGTGAAGTGTGGTGGCGCATGCCTGTATTCCCAGCTACTCGGGAGGCTGAGGCAGGGGAATCTCTGGAAACCAGGAGGCTGAAGTTGCAGTGAACAAAGATAGCACCACTGCACTCATCCTGGTGACAGAGTAAGACTGACCCCACCTCAAAAAAAAAAGAAGAAGATTTGTTTTGGGAAAGGGCTATTGTCATCTTTGTTTTAAACAATATACTATAAACTATGTTCCTCCCAAAGTTAGTTCAGCCTATGCCCAGGAATGAACAAGGACAGTTTGGAGGTTAGAAGCAAGATGGAGTTGGTTAGGTCTC